CGATTAATTATTAAGTTTTTTTTTTATTGACACAATTAGAAAAATTCCTTCACAGTTTAATCGTTAGTTGTTTCATTTTTATTTTCTATACTAAATATTAAAATATATATATTAATATTTTAACACAAATGAACAAAATAAAGAATATTTTTCAATTGTCTCTATATTTGTTTTATATTTATTTTCCTCAAAACATCTCTAAAGTTAAACATATTGTAAGTCCAATAAGAAACAGACAAGTCTATGTAAAATCTTAAGTGGCTTCTTGCCAAATTCGAAGTTTAATAGATTTAATTTCGAAAATGTTTCTCAGAAAATAGTCAAACATTAAACAAAATCAATAAATAAAGTTTCGACTGTATACTACGGCCGATGACGTTATGAAAACTGTTATATAAATCTCATTTATAAAAATAAAATATGAAAAATTTATATCACAGACCTAACAGTTTTAAATAAAATGCTTATTTTCACATTATTAAATATTTAAAATATAAAACAATCAATTCTCTAGGCTGATATATATATATATAGTTACATTTTCAATATGATTTTTCGTAAAACTTTTTACGTAGAAACTAAGAACGAAAATAGTAACTAATGTTTCATTTTTAAAACTTTAATAACAATCGGCTCATTTATTTCTGAGATAATCAAAAGGACCCGTAGAGACATAAAGGACATCAGTCCATTGCCTTTCACTCCGGTTGCCAATAGTGACGGACAAAACAAAGACAAAATTCCATCCCCTAGTCTATAACCGGTGAATATTTTGACCATTAAATTTAATATTACATTAGTATTTGTAAAGGTAAAACAAGTCTAGCCGATTTTCTTTGACGTGTAAAAGTAGTTTTCTTTTTTTGTATGTTTTTTTCCTGTCTTGACAAAAATGGGTCAACGATGAGTGAATGAGAAACATTTCCTTGTGCAGAATTCATTTTCAGTTATGACTGGTCTAACCAGAATTATGGTTCGTGCTCAAGTTTCTTTTTTTTTCTGTTGAAAAATGACTAAAATCGAGTAAATGTGAACGACTTGTTATGTATCTGGATATTCGCTTTATTTTCGATCAAATCGTAACATAAATAAATCGTCATTCTCTGTTTACCTCTTCTTAAATCCTTGTTTTCAACACGAAGACTCGAGTGTTTAGAAACTAATAAACTGAAAACTTTAATTTCATCCTAGAATAGCAAACACAGAAAGAAATGTTGATATCGTACTAAACCAAAAATCTGTATTAACACTGGTCGCGTGTACTCATAAATGGGTATAGGGCCTATATAAACATACTGTGCATGTCACCGAAAGTCTATTTCGAGAACAGGCGGAATCAGAACGAAATAGCAAACCGTGCATTCCTTTAAAAAAGAAGAAGAAATAAGGAATAAAAAAACAAAGAATGTTATTGCATATGGCAATGTGCCAAAATGTAATTCGACCACCAAAATGAATACCGTATAAGAAATTCAAACCTTCCTGTCTGTACAAGAAAAAATTGGGAAATGGACAAAATTTGATTTCCAAACGATATTTAGGCACCAACTAGAATTTATAGATATCGATATCCTTCGTATATTCATTCATCGGAACGAATAGGAAAAATTACTTTCAAAATTTGTCTTCTCTGAGAAGAATATAAATCTTTACTTCACTAGTTTTGTCAGACTTTTGATCAACCAGAAAAATTCTCATCTCGGATAAATTCATTGAAAAAATAACAACGCAGCTCGATTCCATCTTTACTTTGAGTTTGATTTTTTCCTCCCCCTTAAATAGCTTTTAATAAATCCTGACAATTTATCTAATAATTATTCTAAAAATAAATTATAAATCTTGGCATATTCGCAAGAATATACTTGCTTTTAGAGACGAAAGAGAAAAAAAAATCCCATCATAATTTTTAAAGTTGGTATGCATTTGGGTGCAGGACCTATTAGTTACAGTTCCAGGGCAATTGTCCAAAGCCCAATGATTAAGAAGGTTCAATCTTTAATAAATTTACATAGTCGTTTATCAAAATAAGGAAGGAAAACTTAGAGAATAAATAAATAAATATCATCTTAGAAAAGTTGGTGTGAAATTATTCAAAAATTCCAATCCTTTTCGAAAAACTCTTTTCAGGAGTAGAAATTGGTGAAGAAAGATCAAATAAATCTACACCATTTTCCGAGATTATTTCTTTCTTAAATTCCTTTGAAAAATTCTCAATTATTCGAACGGAGCGATAAAAAAAATATTAAACAAAAGAGAAAAAAAAAGAAGTACGTATTGTATCAATAGATAAAAATAACTTTTTTACCTTTCAATAAAATTTCAATTTGAAATAAACTGATTCGATTCGGTATATAGCGGTATTATTCACAAACAATAAAAGTTTTCATCATATTCAAAACATGCCTAGAATAAAATAAGAAAAAATATGTTCTAAAGTAAATGGAGAGGGTTATTTCTCAAACCGAACGATGGCAAATTACAAAAAGAACCTGGTTAGAATATCAAATGGCTTCATAGTTTATAAGAAAGTGAAGTTTGCATAGTGCAAAGTTTTTCTTTTTCTTTTTTCTTCTTGAGTCAACGAATGACTTCTATTCAAGATCACAATTCATTGCGTAATGTGACACGTCCCGGTTAACAATAATTAGAACATTCATTCTGACCGAGAATAAGAAAAAAAGCTAACTAATTATGTTAGCAATGCATCTTCCTGTTGTGATACCATGTTGCTTTTGCCTACCCAAAAATACCGTTCTTGATGACCGAACAATCAGAGTTGGCAGATCGTTAGCAGTTGACAACTCAATGAGATGTGAGTTGAATGGAATGATTGTTACTACAAACTTATTATTTGCTAGCTTATGTACAGTACAGTACAGAAGACATTATAAAACGCTTCCGTTAAGGGGCATTTCAACTATAAAAAACATCTGTTTCTATTGTTAGTTTACGTTTTTAATTATTTTCCTGCTAAGATTTCCTGCTGAATTATTATAATGTATGAAACTTCCTTGGACAACTGGGTGGCTAAAGAGTCAGTGAAACAACCAGTAAAACAGGCTTTCGACACAGTTAGGGTCACTGGATAAACCGCATTCTTATTTGTTACGTAAAAACACGCCACAGTTCATACAAATTTCCCTTTTTAAAACAGTTAATAAGAAAAATTCCTTTCACGTCTTTTAACTTCCTTATTTCCGCCATGGCGGATTGATTCAACTTCCTTAAAAGATTAACTTTAATGAAAAACATCACATTGAAAAAATATCGAAAAAATTTCTATTCTTTTTCTATTGAAATTCTTTCAATTCTACTTATAAGAAAATCATTTTCAAAAGGATTTATAAACACAGCAGCAACCCATTTTATATACGTATTCGAAAAATGCCAACATTTCCTTAACAAAAGAAACACAGCCAAATTTTAATTATATACTAAATAAAACCGTGAAGGGTTCTCTGGTTACAACAGCAGCAGATATATAAATATATTTTTATCCCTTAGGATTAAAAAAAGAAAAACCATTTTAAATATATAATAATAATGATAATAATAATAATTTTTCGAGGCTGACACATCCACCCACAAGTGTTTTTTTTCCTCTCTCTCTCTCTTAAGACCCCCGGTCACACGATAAGCACTCCTATTTTCTATACTGCGTTGCAGTGACGTGACTCGAGATACTTTGTCACGAATGTTTCGTATATTATAACACTTCATCCGCTAATACACCATTTCGTTCGGTTGAAAAATCATTTCAAAGTACATAAAAATACAAAATAACAATAGCAACGACTCCCCCCCGCCGTTTAAAACCAACTATTTTAAAGTAAAAATTAAAAAAAAAATAAATGAATTTTATTATATAGCTTCGTATTATTTAATTTAACTTTAAAACATGTAAATATTTTAAACGAATTATACGTAATTGTAAGTACAAAGTAATCAGTAGTTACGGTATTATCAGAAGTTTCATATTCTTATCGCTGCGGCGTCACATCTGTTCCCAAAGAAACCCTTGCACTACACAACAACCATATCCTTTCTCTTTCTCTCTCTCTCTTTCTCCATCCATATCTTTTATCATCAAACTTTACAACCTTCCAGTGCCCCTTAAACTCGTCACAGAATTTATCTTTTCGTAATATTTGTCGAGTTTAAATTGTAACGAATAAAGATCTCCCGGCGACACAATTCTATCGATTAAATAGGAGGTACCCGGGGTTCGGTCACTCAAAAGCACCGAACGAACGTTTCATTCACTAATTAGTTATCTTGATATATGATAATAATTATTACAATAAGATATATCAGTTTCCTAGATATCACGTCACGAATCGCTGTAATTCACTCACGTTAATAACCGATCGTACTATAAATCATCCTCAAAACTAAAGTTAAAAGATAATAATACCGAATCGAACTAACCTATGCCTTTTCGGTTTTTTTTTTTTTTTTAAATTCTTTACGAAACTTACAACTGTAAAAACACACGCAAGTTATCGTAACAGGACGATTTGTCAACCATCAATTTCCAGTTCGATTGATATAAAGTTACCGGGTGGCGATTATTTATACGGTCGAGTTTCGTGTTCTGGAGAATCATCTGATCCATCTGTCATTCCCGTAATTTTACTTCTGTGAAGATTGTAATTGTTTAACCCGATGCGACCGAATAGTTCTTACGTTTTCTTCTTCTCTTTCCGTACGAAATGTATTAAAAAATAGAATTATTTAGCGATTTTGTCGCGTTTTAGGAAAGAAAATCGCTAGCGACGTCGTGCCCTAGGGACGGACCACGCCCTCACTGCGGTGTAGTCGGCCAGGTCCTCCACCCTCTACTCCGCTTCTTGTCACCCACAGCTGCTACATACCTGCACATTGCCTGTCAGTGAGAGTCCAATCGAGCGAAACGGACTGGTCAAAGTGCATCGGAATGCTCTACGACGCGTTTATACGACGCGAGAAACTCGGCGATTATCATACAGCGCACAACTCACCTGATGTACTACCCAGAACATATCTAGTTGTGTCTGTGGAGAGTGACGGGGTGTGATCTAAGCGCGCGATCCGCCATGTTCGAGCAGCTACAAGTAGCGACAACTGCGCACGATTCATCCAGTCTTCTAACGTAATCAACATAACGGGCATGCGCGATGCAGTTGACAGAGGCTCATGGATACAGGGCTACGTCCTATGGGGTTCGAGACGTCCGACATCATCCTAACGGGTCGATATGAGAAGTTCGTCTCTAAGGGAGAAATGTCTGGTAAAGAGAAGGTCATTTCTTCTACAGATAACGGAGAAATTAATGTCCGTTCGCCTCCTGACTATAAATGATTTCGACTAGTTTCGAAATATTTTTTTTAACTCTTTCTCTCTCCCTTTACTTTTTAAAACCCATTCTCAAGTTGCATTTTATTATTATAAATCTCTCCCAACTTAAGTTACAGTTTTTATAAATCTTAATCGTCGTTATTTATTTATTTATTTTTATTTTATACTTTATTAACAACTAGTAAACTCCATCTATTTTTTTCGTAGAATCTAATAGGTTTATAAATTGTTTTGATTTTAATTTTGACAATATTGATTGAACTTTACAATGATATTTAAATTAAACATAATAAAAACCCGAGTTCTCATAACAAGGAACTTGAGTTAAGGAACAAGAATTTTAATTTCACTTTTTCAAAGCGGAAAACTGGAAAAAATCGAAATTATGAAATCATCGCAATTTTTAATCATATTTTAATTTAAAAAATTACACGAATTTCCGAACCAGGCCGGAAGTTCGTTTATAATCAATCGAGACCTACGCCCCTAAGGTTTCCATATCTAGTCTCGATTTTCATCTACCTAATTCCGTTCTGTATGTTAATTAAGGAAGGACGACAGTGGAAATCTACAGGTCTGCAATTTAAAAATTACAGCCCAATGAAACAAAACTCATTTCTTATTCCCAAAACTTCTCTCTCCTTTTTTCTCTTTCCACAAATACTGCAATATAAATCCTTTCTCTGCCGAATTTTCACTAAATCAGAATACAATATATATATATATTTTAATAAAATTTTTATTCTTTATGAAAATATATGGAGAATCAGTCTGAAAGCTAAATCTGAATTTATTAGAAAAGAAGATTCTATGCATTGATATTGACTTTTGGGTACAGTTATAATCATTTTAAATGGAATTATTCGAAGAGAATACATTAATGAGACTTCGTGTAGTATAAGATATCGTACAAAATGATTTCTCCGATGAGCTATTAAATCATCAAAACCCTCCACATATCCAGTTCACACTGTACAGTAGGCCAGGGCCGTGCCGTGCTATGATGCAGAGATGCGGCCACATCAGGCAGCACCGTAATGGNAAACCCATTCTCAAGTTGCATTTTATTATTATAAATCTCTCCCAACTTAAGTTACAGTTTTTATAAATCTTAATCGTCGTTATTTATTTATTTATTTTTCTTAATATAATTAATTTTTAAGTAGAAAAAAAAACAATTAAAGATGTTATCTTTTCGATAAAGAATTGTGTATTAAAATTTTAACTGTGAAAATTCGCTTGGTTTTAATTAAAGAGAAGGCTAATATAAGGCTTTGAGGTAAAAAGCAAACCTTTACCTTTCAGGTTTATAAATTAATTTAATTATGATAATTAAGAATAAATAAAATGTAATAAAAATTAGCTTTTTTATATGATTAATTGTAATTAAAATGTATAGCAGTATCTTTACATATGTATTATATTTTAAAGAATTAATAAATGATGTTTTTAAAAATATAATGAAATTTTTCTTCATCAAATTTCATTGAATAAAAAACAAATCGATCAACAACCGACATCGTAAAATAAAGATAGGAAAAAATAATAATAAAAAAAAATCCTTTCACCATAGTAAATTTCATTTAAAATTCATTGAATAGCTCATGTTGAATTCATTAAATTTGAAGGATATAAATACTTTGTAAATTTATTTAAATAATAATTAAGTTATTTAAAAAGTCACCAGATAAGTTACTAAAATGAATTTAAAATAACTTTGCTAATTAATTAACCTGTTAAGTAGTTTAGGAACAAATTATTTGTACTTTCGAAACAGTGTGTCAAATTTAATTTGGTTCCCACACGGTAGCTTTAAGCATTATTATTAACTGGAGATGATAAAACAATTACGGGGGCGTTCGATTGAGTCAGCTTATTAACACCCGTTCTAACTAGTATCTTTTATAGAGTCGATCAGAAGAATATAAATTGGCTTTCCATGCATATATAGTCACACTATTATCGTGCTATAAACGAGATTAAAATTTAAAATTGGAAAGGGAAAACATTATTGAAATGCTCTCGATCGTGGTACCCTTCTGTAGGAAGGCGAAATGTCTTTATAGAATGAACTAGAAGGCGGATTTTTTTAGAAAGTAGGTTGGGGAGTATGAATGATTTAAGGTGTTGTTATGCAAAAACACCTGTATATGAAAGAGATTCGAAGTATTTTAATATGTTTTTCGCCTTAATAAATAACAATAAATTGAATGCATTCTGGAAAAAAAAAAAACCTAACTCTGTAAATGTTTAAGTCGTTTTTGAAATGTAGATATCGTAGAACAATGGAAGTAAACCATACAGGACAATACGGCTAAAACATTTCTTAACAAAAAGTTGAATATCGTGCTATTGGCCCATTTCCAAATTTTCAAAAGATATACAGTACCTTACAAGTTTTGTAGATTCGTTTTCACACGAAACGTTTATAATATTGCAAGTAAAGCAAGAAAAAAAGTTTCTTTTTCTGTACGATTTTGAAGCATTTAAACCAATTTTTTGCTCGATAAAACTGAACAGAAAACGGTTAAATTTACAAGTTGTTTTTGATACGTGTAAATATTTCGAATCTGTATACGTATATACAGTTTGTAGATAGCATTCCTGATGATTTTTTTATCTGTACTTTATGACAAAAAAAATTATTTTTTTTTGTAAGGCATGTGGCCTTTATGTATAAATATTAAATGAATCATTTTTTTGTGAATAAATCAAGACATTTATACATATAAAAAATAAATACTTTTAAGAAATAATTTCGATATTCACATCTCATCAGAAATACAGTTAAACATATTGTAAGTCCAATAAGAAACAGACAAGTCTATGTAAAATCTTAAGTGGCTTCTTGCCAAATTCGAAGTTTAATAGATTTAATTTCGAAAATGTTTCTCAGAAAATAGTCAAACATTAAACAAAATCAATAAATAAAGTTTCGACTGTATACTACGGCCGATGACGTTATGAAAACTGTTATATAAATCTCATTTATAAAAATAAAATATGAAAAATTTATATCACAGACCTAACAGTTTTAAATAAAATGCTTATTTTCACATTATTAAATATTTAAAATATAAAACAATCAATTCTCTAGGCTGATATATATATATATAGTTACATTTTCAATATGATTTTTCGTAAAACTTTTTACGTAGAAACTAAGAACGAAAATAGTAACTAATGTTTCATTTTTAAAACTTTAATAACAATCGGCTCATTTATTTCTGAGATAATCAAAAGGACCCGTAGAGACATAAAGGACATCAGTCCATTGCCTTTCACTCCGGTTGCCAATAGTGACGGACAAAACAAAGACAAAATTCCATCCCCTAGTCTATAACCGGTGAATATTTTGACCATTAAATTTAATATTACATTAGTATTTGTAAAGGTAAAACAAGTCTAGCCGATTTTCTTTGACGTGTAAAAGTAGTTTTCTTTTTTTGTATGTTTTTTTCCTGTCTTGACAAAAATGGGTCAACGATGAGTGAATGAGAAACATTTCCTTGTGCAGAATTCATTTTCAGTTATGACTGGTCTAACCAGAATTATGGTTCGTGCTCAAGTTTCTTTTTTTTTCTGTTGAAAAATGACTAAAATCGAGTAAATGTGAACGACTTGTTATGTATCTGGATATTCGCTTTATTTTCGATCAAATCGTAACATAAATAAATCGTCATTCTCTGTTTACCTCTTCTTAAATCCTTGTTTTCAACACGAAGACTCGAGTGTTTAGAAACTAATAAACTGAAAACTTTAATTTCATCCTAGAATAGCAAACACAGAAAGAAATGTTGATATCGTACTAAACCAAAAATCTGTATTAACACTGGTCGCGTGTACTCATAAATGGGTATAGGGCCTATATAAACATACTGTGCATGTCACCGAAAGTCTATTTCGAGAACAGGCGGAATCAGAACGAAATAGCAAACCGTGCATTCCTTTAAAAAAGAAGAAGAAATAAGGAATAAAAAAACAAAGAATGTTATTGCATATGGCAATGTGCCAAAATGTAATTCGACCACCAAAATGAATACCGTATAAGAAATTCAAACCCTCCTGTCTGTACAAGAAAAAATTGGGAAATGGACAAAATTTGATTTCCAAACGATATTTAGGCACCAACTAGAATTTATAGATATCGATATCCTTCGTATATTCATTCATCGGAACGAATAGGAAAAATTACTTTCAAAATTTGTCTTCTCTGAGAAGAATATAAATCTTTACTTCACTAGTTTTGTCAGACTTTTGATCAACCAGAAAAATTCTCATCTCGGATAAATTCATTGAAAAAATAACAACGCAGCTCGATTCCATCTTTACTTTGAGTTTGATTTTTTCCTCCCCCTTAAATAGCTTTTAATAAATCCTGACAATTTATCTAATAATTATTCTAAAAATAAATTATAAATCTTGGCATATTCGCAAGAATATACTTGCTTTTAGAGACGAAAGAGAAAAAAAAATCCCATCATAATTTTTAAAGTTGGTATGCATTTGGGTGCAGGACCTATTAGTTACAGTTCCAGGGCAATTGTCCAAAGCCCAATGATTAAGAAGGTTCAATCTTTAATAAATTTACATAGTCGTTTATCAAAATAAGGAAGGAAAACTTAGAGAATAAATAAATAAATATCATCTTAGAAAAGTTGGTGTGAAATTATTCAAAAATTCCAATCCTTTTCGAAAAACTCTTTTCAGGAGTAGAAATTGGTGAAGAAAGATCAAATAAATCTACACCATTTTCCGAGATTATTTCTTTCTTAAATTCCTTTGAAAAATTCTCAATTATTCGAACGGAGCGATAAAAAAAATATTAAACAAAAGAGAAAAAAAAAGAAGTACGTATTGTATCAATAGATAAAAATAACTTTTTTACCTTTCAATAAAATTTCAATTTGAAATAAACTGATTCGATTCGGTATATAGCGGTATTATTCACAAACAATAAAAGTTTTCATCATATTCAAAACATGCCTAGAATAAAATAAGAAAAAATATATTCTAAAGTAAATGGAGAGGGTTATTTCTCAAACCGAAC